TAGTTTAATGGGGGACTTTTGGTGGCTTTTTATATATTATGCCTAGACATTGGTTCAGGAAGTCCTAGTACCTGGGTAAGAGCTCAGCACAACAGCAGGACAGACGAAGCAATAGCTCACTGGAAATCCATTCATTGTGACTGAAGGTGAGCAGTTCAATATTATTTAAATTTATCTGAGACACCTTTGGAAATATAGGACTTTGGCCCCTGTTAACGTCTCTTCCCTTTTGTTTGACACAGCCTTCTCACTTGCATGATGCAAAATATGGCCTTCGCTGTGGTACTGTCATCTAAATACTGCTGTTTGTTGTCAATTGTCTTGTGAACACGTAACAGAGAGAGAGAGAGAACACTAATTTACAATTAATTTCAGGAAAAGGGAGGTCACACATTTGTCTATAAGTGGAAAACTACCAATGTGTAATGCTACTAAAGAGTAATAATGTCAGTTTTAATCTTGTCTACTCTGTCATAAAGACAAGACAGCCAAGGCTGCAGTGTTTCTTATGATTTCCGAGGAACTAAATTAAAAACAGAAGTAAATATAGACTGAAATTTCTTACAGGGCTGATTAGGTTTGTAAGCATTTGCAATGAGAAAGAGACAATCTTCATTTCAAGAAGTCTAAAGTGTAAATGATGGATTTGATGATAGATCAGAAGGGATGGGATAAACAGGACTGGTGATAAAAAAAACATTGATAAATAACTATAAAAAATCAAGGCTTAATGCAATATACACAATATACAGGAAAAAAGGCAATACATCATGGATTCCAAAGAATGGCTATCATTAACCCCCTTTAGGAAAAGCTTCTGGGAGGAAAACAGAATTTACAAAGTATATTAAAGTTGAGTTTGGAGGCCCGGGAAAGCATTTGACTTTGGTATCTCTGCAAATTATCTTCACGGGTTAATGGCATGAGTGGCGAAAGAAGAGTAGTGCAGAAGAGACTGATCAATGGTTTACCATTTAAAATGGTTTTTATGCTAGCTGCGGTGGCACACACATGTAATCCCAGCATTCTGAGAGGCAGAGGTAGGCGGATTCCAGTGAGTCCGAGTCCAGCCTGGTCTATAAAGTTAGTCTAGGACAGCCATGTCTCAAACAAACAAACAAACAAACAAACAAAACCAAAACCCCAAACAAACAAACAAACAAACCAAACCTATAAAATGTTTTTTATTTCTTAATTACATAGTGCTGGGAGCATTAAATAACTCAGAAAAGGCAACAAAATTTTAATATGTAGCATACTTAGTCAAATCCAGTATACTATCTGTAGAATTTGTTCTGCAAATATAAATGCTAAAGAATGTGATAAAATTAAGTGACTCGTAGACTATCCTATGCAAGATGCCAATGGTTAGAGGAGCTACACACTATGATAGCGACAGCACTGCTCACCAAGGGGACGCGGTGATCGTGCGCCAGCTTTTATGCTGAAAAATCCACATAGTTCTTTCTACTGCAAAGTTGATCATTCTGAAACGGGGGTAAACGTGCTTGAAATGAAGATATCAGAAATAGATAACAGGCCACAGTGTGGCCTGTGCTCGGTAGATATCAAAAAGCCCTGTGAGCAAGAAGAGAGATGGAATATCCCAAATGAATGCAGGTTAAGCCTGAAACAAGACGGTTATCCTTACAAATTACTTTAAATAAAATATGATATAGTTTTCATTCTTCGTGAACATGCCTCCTAAATTATTTTTTAAAGTGATTTATGCACATTTAACTAAAGCATAATTATCTTGACTAATATTGTGAAATAGGGTATTTAAAATCCCAGTGTTTAACAAAGTGCTTCATGATTAGCTCTTCACAAATACTTAAACTTCCTGTCTATAATATTTCACAATATCACTCCAGACTGTGAAGAATCAACTAATATTTTCAAATTTTAAATTATTAATGAATAATATTCAGCAGAAATGAGCATTGTATCTTGTACTTTGCCACTGAGAAATTAAACCATATTTTTGTAGGACATTTTATAGCAATTATACTTTTTTGCAGAAAATATTTATATAAATAAAGTTATTAAAAATTAAAAAAAATCCAGCCAGGCGCAGTGGCACACATGTGGAATCCCAGCATTCAGGGAGACTGAGTCAGGTGGATCTCTGTGAGTTTGAGGCCAGTCTAGTCTACAAATCAAGTCCAGGACAGCTAAAGCTACACAGAGAAGCCCTGTCTCAGGGGTGTGTGTGTGTGGGGGGAATACACACACACACACACACACACACACACACACATATGAAAAAGAAGAAAAATTAGAAAACATAAATGTGCTATCCTGCAAATATTTCCGGGTTTGATTTTGTTTTTATGTAAGTGTGAAAATAATGTTAAGGCTTGTCAATCAAACTAGGGGCTTCTTTTCTACACACTCATGGGTAACATGCATTAACTTCTAGTTTGTGTATATATATATATATATATATATGTATATATATATATATATATATCTTTAAAAACTATTTTCTTACATGTACAGCTGTTTTGCCTGGACATACATTTGTACACATCATGTATGTATAATAACTTAGATGCTGGAAGAGGGCACTGGATCCCCTGGAACTGGAGGTATAGATGTCTGTGAGTGCCAAGAATCAAACCTAGGTTCCCTGAAGAGCAGCAAGTGCTCTTAACTGGTGAACCTTCTCTCCAGCCCCAGTTTGCTTGTAACTTTATGGCTTTCAATGAGTTAAGAACCACGTATTTTTCCTGGTGGACCATGGATCAGAGCTGTTCTTCTGAATAGGCAAAGCCAAATTCCATGTCCCATCTGAAGTGGTCTAAGCACTTATTGCTAAGCATTTGTCATGCCACTTACAAGCACATTAAATTCTTACCACTCAAATGATACAAATGTTAGCATCATGTGATATGGATACCGAAGCAGCCGCTAAGAACTTCAGTGGGCACTCAAAGACATGCTTTGTAAAAGTCTCTTTTATTCGGCAGGTGTAGTTGTTACATAGGAGGCTTACTGTTGAATAAGCTCACCCTTTCTTGTTCTTTCTGGACTCTGGGTGACTGTTCAATTAAGCTGTTCTGGCTCAAACTCCTCTCCAAGCTGACTAATTCAATCTGGCTTCTCTCAGCTTCTGACTGAATTGCTCTGCTGGGCCTCATGCTAACTTTGGCAATATGTTCTAATCTTCTGGCTCCTTCTCATTCTCTAGTCCATTCTAACTTCACCTGTGTCTGTCTTGTTCTCTCTCTGCAGTCTGTGTTCAGTACTGTCCTGGTAAAACTGCCTCTGAACTACAATTGAACTGCCACAAACTCAACTCTACTTCATTGCTTCTCAACTGACTCCCCACTGACTCTCACTCACTAAACTCATCTTCACTGAATTCAACTCCACTGTGAACTGACTGGCTAACTCCCAACTGGCTGAGTTCAACCGAACTGTCTGTTCTGCCGGAACTGACTCACCTCTCCCTCTCTGTGCTGCTCTTTCTTTCCTGTCTGCTCTCATGAAAGTTGCACATATCTGACCTCTGACTCATTCTATCAAATCTTTCTCTGATTTGTCACTTTGTCTGCCTCTCAATTAGATGTCACTTTCAAACATGGCTGCTTCCTTCTACAAATTAACTTTATCTTCATTGTTTGGGATTAAAGTTGCCTACTAAAAGTGTGCCTGTATTCCAGCCAGAGCAATTAAAGGTGTGTCATCCCAGCTGGATCCCACAGTCCTAGCAAAACTTTTATGATCTCTTGCCAGAGCAGCCATGATACTGAATTAAAATCCCTCTACATCTTCCCCTTTTTGTTTAAGCTAAAAATTGTACAGAGTTATCTGTTACAACAGACACAATTATCCATCCCATAAACTTAACAGTCCGAATGTCCTTATGAGATTTGCTGATGCAATGATCCTTCGTAACTGCAGTCCTGAACAGCTGTCCTGTTGCAAATATTTATTTATTTATTTCAGCATCAAGGTTTTCCAATCTGCCAGTCTAATGAATTAATTACTTTTAAAGCCAGTTTGTTGAGCTCTTCCTAGGAAGGGGAATCAGCTCTCTGCCTTGCTATTTTTCTGTCTCTTCTTTCTGTGAGTCGTGCCTTTTATGTAGAAGCTTCCTTTATTCAGATCTGATCTTTATCAATTTTGATGGAACACATAGTCTTTCATCACCTGTGGAAATATAGACAAAACCTCTTCTCCAACACATTCTCTGATTTCCATTCTGATGTCAAAACATCTTTAAAGTATACGGGTTACTCTAATTCAGCAGGTTGTTTATTGTTTTTTGTTTGGTTTTTTTCTACAATCCAGTATCTTTCAGCTAATTCCCCTCTTTCAGTTTATGAAAGTACAATTACATATTTATGAATTCACATATAAACTAGACAATGAGGTACTCATATTCCATGTGTGGCTCCATATCAGCAACTGAGGCTTCTTACCCATTTAAACACAAAAAGAAAGAAAAAAAAAATCAAGCCTTATTATATAAGAGGTCAATATGCAGTGTCTCCAATATCTAGTTTAGTTTTCTCTAGTTGTTCTGCTGAATGCTGATAAGAAATGCCTGGCTCATGTTGTTTGTTGTCAGGTATGAGCTAACCGGCTTAGGGGGTCTACCATTGGTAAGGGATTACCTTGAACATCTCTTGGTAATCTGCATTCATTAGCCCAGTGCCTACCCTTTCCACACTTTCTACAAATCCTGGAAGGCTAAGGTTTTCTAGAGAAGTCTATAGGAACACCTTGTCTACAATTTCTTTTCAAATGGGGCCAAAACAATGGAAATTTTGATTTTATTGCCCATTGTTTGCCCAATTACACAGTCATTGGGGTCAATATCAACAGTAGTTCTAATCCATTCATCCATGGATGCTGATCTAGCGTTTAAAGGTCTGAAAACTTTTTTACATTCTGTATTTGCTGCAGAATTAAAAATACTTTCACAATGTTTGAAACACATGAAAAAAAAAAGCAGAAACTCTTAAGCAATTGAACAGAAGATACAAAGATAAAGCAAATGATAACATTTTAATTGAAATGAGTACAATTGTAGAGTTATAACTCTGAGGCTACAGCACTGGAAATTACACAGTATGAACAACAGAACAAAGACTAATAAACTGCTAGGTCTCCAACAAACTATCTACTATTGGGCCACTGTAGTACTAACATGAAAGGAGAAGTGGTCAGGCTGAGAAAGTATTTGAAGAAATAGTGGACAAAATTTTCCTATTTTTTTCCCCCAAAAACATCTAAATTTAAGAACTCTGAAAAGCCCCAATCTAGAATAAACTGAAGATCCCCAGGACAACATACATTATATCCCACCTTCTGAAGAGTAAAAATAAAGTCTTGAAAGCAGTGAAGCAGAAATAACAAAAATACTGTCAAGGACCTTAAGTTCTTTATTTATTGTTTCTGCTTTTTAACTGAACTCAGGTTATCTAAGTAGCAGAACATTTATCAGACATCAGACATTGTGCCAGGTACCTGAGGGACAGCTAGCTGTCAACCCTGCTTCTCTCACTGCAGCTTGAAAGGTATTCTCTATAAGCAATGTAATGAACTGTATAATTGGAAAGAATCTGAACTTAAGGACAAAGGAACAGCAACAACAACAACAAAATCCAAGAAAATTGTAACTGTTGCTTCCTAGATGGGCTTTAGCTCTGCAAATTTTATGAAACTAATATCCATCATCAGACTTTCTTTTCGGTTATTTTGTGTGTGGTACTTATGAGTGTGCACATATGGAAGGCAGAACACACTGGACTTTCTTATGCCATGCCTATTTTTTGGGAGCAGGGCCTCTCACTGAACTCAGAACTCAGTGAATTGGTTTGTGGGTATGCAGCAAGCCCCAGGATACACGTGTCTCTGTATCCCCGGGGTAGGGATTTTAGGCTTGTGCTACAGCACCAGGTTTTTATGTGGGTGTTATCTTTATGATTGTACAGCAAGCACTATTATCAACAGAGCCATCCACCTAGCTCAGGTTTGTTTTTAGGCAAAATAATATAGCCTAAGTAAAAACAAACAAACAAACAAACAAAAAAACCAAACAAAAAACCAAATGACAATTCTTCCCTACCCTCCTTTAAAATTACATTAAACAATAATTATTTAGTATCTAGGTCAGAGGTGGGGAGCATGCCCAGGTAATATGGAACAGGTATGGACTTCAGAGTGTTGTGGGAGTTGGTTCTCTTCTTACACTCTGTAGATTCTGAGGATCAAGCTCAGGTCATCACTGAATGCAAACACCTTAAATGCAAACACTACGTCACCTCCATGGCCCAGTAAAGCTATTTTTAGAAAGCATATCCCCCTACCTCTGCTTCTAAGCCTAAAATGGGAAACGCAGGTTTTGAAAACAGTTTTTTGGAGTACTTTTGGAAACACACTGCCGGTAAACACTGCTTTCCTGTATTCTTATTTTGAATATTATAAAAATAGTTCCTGGAGGTGACTAAAGCACTGCGACTTAAAATATGCCTTACACTAGATGTTTTCCCATCACAGAAAAGTTGAGACTTGCAAGGAAGAGAGAGCAATCTCTCTAAGTCAGCTTCAGTGAGCTGGTGTAGAAAAGATGACAGCTAACCCTGCCACCTGTATCATTCTTTTTTTTCCTAAGCATGCACAATGAGTTTTATTAAATGCCAGTTTACCCAAATCAAGACTGTTGGTGTCTTCTCTGGTGAAAAGATAAAATACCTGTAAAAGCAGTAAACAGATTTGGTTTCCATGTCTTTGTAATGCAAGCATTCCTCACTACCTTTCACCGTTAACAAAACTCTCAGGCAGGCCCCGTCAGTTCATTTGGGAAAAGGATCTATATACTGGATTTTATTTGCACAGCCTCTTTCCCGACACAAGTCAAGGCTCTTAAGGTTCTCTAGACGAAGAGAGATTGGATAATGCATTTTGGAGAACAACTTGATTATCTACTCTCATTGAAAATATCGGTTAGTTTGATTTACGAGACTAATTCTTTCTGGCTGAATCTTCTGACTTAAATACAGGGCTGGAGACTCTTGTCAAGCAGCATGGAGCTCCAGGTCTCACTCTCCCTACTTCTACAGACTGAAACTTAGGAATTAACGTTGTGTCCGGAACATAAAGCCCTGAAGAGATTCCTGAGTACCAACAGGTCTGAGTAGTTTTTCTTGACCCTATCATGATATTTCAAATACAGATTCTAACCCATGACTTTTGTCCATGGCCCAACAATGTGAATTTAAAACCTCTGTAATCTGTTGGTTTTGGGACTCTTTGAATTACTAAGGCAAACAAGGTACATCCTTTTAGCTGGTGTACAAATCAATGCAGGTCAATACATTTCCTTTTGTATTGTTGGATTTTTTTTCCCAGAGGCCTCTCCTATCTCAAAGATGCCTGTTTCTCATCCACTGTGATCCTTTAAGGTAAAGTAGTAAGTCCCTCTACACTTAGCTTATAAATAATCAGTCCACACATAGATATAAGCAGATTAAAAATACATGAATTGATGGCATAATAGATACATATTTAATACAGTACTTCTCAGAAAGGAGATATTATTCAATTAACATAAAGTTATTTTTTAATAAATCTTTTTTCATTTTAGTATTAGATATGTTCAGTACATTTTCATTAAACTTTTTCTCTGACATAAAAGTTTCAATTTTTGGCAATTTAATATCTAAGCACAATATCAACTAGGGAAAGATTAAAAAAAGAAGCATTAAAAAACAAAACAAAACAATGAAAAAGTGGAGAAAATGACCCCCCCCTAGAATTCAAATGGCAGTGATTATAATAGCAACGTTGACTTACTAGATTCTGACCAAACACTTCCTTCTTCCAATTTCATGTGCTTTGATAATTCGAGAGTATGAACTAATACTTATACAAACTTAAGCGCTCTTATCTTGACCCCTTCCCAAGCAGCAAATACAAATGATAGGCCACATAATTAGCATAATCAGTGCACTCTTTGTGGTTAAGAGCCTCCTCCACCCCACATCTGCTCTCATCATTGAGGAAACAGCTAAGAAGCTGAATCACACTCCCAACAGTAGCTTTCTTACTGGGAAGAGCAGAGATCAAACCTTGGGTTTGGCCTCAAGAGCACAATGGTTTTCAATGCAGTCAGGGTGAAGAAAAATTCAGAAGAGTCCTTCAAAGTCATATTTGTCCATTTCGCTTTCTTGCATATATCCCCAAGCATGCACAGATGCCTGTAATGCTGAGAACCACACCTAGTAACAGTGCAATGGCATCTCCGGCTTCTACTGCTTCAACAACAGGCAGAATCAAAAGCAGTGAAGTAAGGACTAAGATCAGTTGTGTTGAAATTGAATTCATGATTTTGGGATCTTGAGGGCTGAACTTTCCTAGAAATTAAACATGGACACAAAAGAAACAAAAAGTTAAAAAAAATAAAAGGTTAAAAAGCCTTGCTTTCTTGAATGATAATATAAACATACAACAATCTGGACTTTGGGAATCATTTCAGAATTTGTCACTTCACACATGACAAAACTAAGGAAGTATTCTTAGAGATAGTCATTTTAGGTTAATCTCGTGACAACACCCTGGCCTTGCCAGTATCAACAGTAATTCCAACAGGATATACATAGGCCAAACTTAAACTGGACAGCTGTTTATCAGTAAGAAAAGAGAAAAAAAAATCACAAGACACTTAAAAACTTAAAATACCCTCATGAGTGAAAATCACATTTTCTTAGCATGTCTCCTATCTAAAAATGCGGGCAAATCTGGCAAAAGTCAAAGAACACAATATATAAGTCCGTGAAGTTGCGAGGAATTAATTAGACTCACCAAAACAGCGGTATATGTAAAATTCTCTCCAAAGTGAAATATTCCCTCTCTGGGGCTCCGGATGCCAAGGCTAAGAGGTTACCAGTGACACAGCCTATTAGGGTGGGGAGAATAATTTAAACATTATTTTAGAGAAACGAGGTACAAGGACGGTAATGGGTAATGAGTACAGAAAACACTCTCTAAAAGTTCGTTCAAAAAGACTAGATATAAGTTCTCCCACACAGACAGCTAAAGGAAACCCAGCCGAAAAGCAAATGCATCCCAAGATCTGACATAAAGATCTGGAAAAGAATTGTTCCTTTTCCCGGGGAGGACGCAAATTTGTTGCGTTTTTACAACCGCACTCGGGTAATCAATGAGGGAATCCCCGGGAGCGGAGTTTTGTACCTTACCCGACAGAAAGCAGCCATTACAGGAATGACGAGCAGGGCGGCGGCGTCAGACTACATTTCCCAGAAGTCCCGCTGCCTACTCCCGTCATGCACGGCGCGCTCTCCCATCACTGGCTGAGGAACAAGACAGGAGTGTAAAGGTTGCTAGGTGTGTGGGCCTACTCACTTTGACCCCAGGTTTCACCGTTAATTAAAGATTAAATGTATATCCAGAAAAAGATTCGTGGTAAAACTAACGAAACGACAACACATTTTTCCCGCCCTTTTCAGGATTTCTAGACGCATAAATATGTATTTATAATACTCTGAAATGAAGAGGTTATTGTAGCTGAATAGAGCCATCTGTTTGGGATGCTTTCAAACCAGGGGCCTTCCAACATTTCTGCAGTAGAAAAATCCCTATCATATTCCAAATGCGCTTAATGACATTTGCTATTTTTTTTTTTTTTAACCAATGGGGAAAATAAGCACATTTAATCAGAAAGTTTGGAAAATATTGAATCATTTGTGGTGCAAAACAAATTCAGAAAATACGGTTTCAGCCTTATAGCCAGATCTTTTTTGATTCGAGTTCTTGTCTTTCTCAGAATGCAGATTCTCCATAGCCTCCCAATAGTTTAAGATGTCAAATTAGTACCCTAAACCATTACAAGAATTATTTATTTGTAGTGGTAGGCACTGGCTCTGAAAGGTTCTTGCTACCTGTGATATCCACACTAAATGGTCCCAGTGTTCTGGCCTCAGCGCTTCCATATTTACTGACAGTTTGTCTTCCTGTTTAAGTTACTCAAGTACAGAGTTGCCATGATAAAAAAAAAATCATGCTGACCATGCACAGGGAGGACCTAAACGCCCTACTCAGTTGTAGTCTCTAGGCAGCTCACTCTCCATGTGGCTTGCCGAGTGAGGGGAGCAGGGGCTGCCTCTGTCATGAACTTGATTGCCTGCTCTTTATTCACTTGCCCCTGGCGATGCAGTCTTGCCAGGCCACAGGGGAAGAGGATCCAGGCAGTCCTGGTGAGACTTGATAAGCTATGGGCAGAAGAGAAGAACTCCCCCTTTCAGTGGACTAGAGGAAGGGGCTGGGGGGAAGAGGGAGGAAGGACGGGACTGGGAGGAATTGAGGGAGGGGTCTTCAATCGGGATATATAATGAATAAATTGTGAAAAAAGTAAAAATAAAAATTTAAAAAATTAGTGTTTAATTACCCACAGCAGTTACTGTGGGTACATTCAGTTCAGTGTTGATAATCAGTATGTATTCCTGTGTTGTTGGTTCCCTTTTCAAACAGTCTTACCTCTCTATAATCAGCAAAGAGTTATACTTCTGGTTCCTAACACACATCTGGCAGGTGCTTTAGTAACATTAGTTAATAAGAATCATTTAATTAAATAAATGTGGCACGATTCTACAGAAGACCTGGAGATGGCAAACACACAGAAGCAAGGTGTCTGACAGGTTGACAGTGCTGTTCTCTAAAGCTGATTATTTTAACAAATTCATTCTAATTGCATTTGTCTTATGTTGCATTTGGCTTTGTATCTTTCCTGCCAATTAGTTTTGGAACAGAAACTATTTTTTTTTTTGTTTTGTTTTCAAAATGTCTCCCAACAATCTAATGATTTCATTTGGGATATTTTATTTTTCCTTATGTGCTTATTTCATCTAGTGGAAGTCTGCAGAAGTTAGTGCTGGTACATACTTGTTTTGTTCCTGGGTTTGGTGTTGCTTCTTGATTAAGTTTTAATTTTGAAGAGTCTGTGGATGGTAAAGATGCTCATCTTTTAAGTTATTGTAGCTAAAAATTAACAAATGACTTGGCCTATCTGCCAAAAAAAATAGTGCAAATTTGTTTAAGGCATGTTAGAGCTAAAATATAGTTTTAAATTGAAGCTGCTTGAATTTGTTAATTAGTTTCCCATCCTTATCTGCAATGTCAAACAATGCTTTTGGTATATCACTTTCAGATTAGATGCCATTCTAATTCTATTTTTTTTTTCTTTCCACTCTAACTAGTCTGTTTTTCTTTTAATGGTAATTAACTCCTTTTTTAAAAACTCCAATTCCACCATATTAGACAGAAGCTCAAGTTACTTTTCAAGACACAAATCTCAGTAGTACTGGACTTGCCTTTGATGCCTGCCACCACTCACATACTCTTTCCATTCTGTTCATATTTAATATTCCACTGTTTTGTAAAGAAGCTAATTTGGTTTCTCCTGTTGATATTTTTCCCTTGCTGTTTCCTCTGCCACTATACTTGGCAACACATTTGTCATGGTTTTTCTTAACATCCTTCAGGGCTCAGAGATTTACTCAAGCTTCACTTTTATCTCTGATTATCGTACTTAAAACAAAATATAAAACAAAACAAACTCTACCATTATATTATGGAGGTAAGCAAATACGCTCAAGGTAGGAGTATTTTCATCTTTTTCAAGACTGAGTTTTCTACTGTTAGAACAGTTCCCTGTGTGGTAGTTATTTAGTAGGTGTCTTGTGATTAAATAAGGATAGTACAATACCAGAATGATTTACTTTTTATACTTACTTTTTCTTTCCTTAGTGGAAGGTATCTTACAAGTAAGAAGTTTGCTTTGGGACCAATCTATGAATATGCTTAGTCCGATGTTATTTTGAATCTTCATTCAAAGTTGGTTATCATATGTTTTCTATATACCCTTATTCAAAACGAGACCTCAGTGAAAGTATAAGATGCAATAAAATCTAAAACTGGATCCTAAATACAATGTTCTATACTTACTTTCTCTACCCAGATTCATTGAGGCCACCTAGATCACTGCATTAAAAACTTAGAGTGACAGAATCCAGAATTTAGTGCTTCAATTCAAGAAACCTAAGCTAATGCCGTTTCCACTAAAATAGAGATCACTGGTAGCCAGTGATAGGCACAGAGAGCACTCAGAAGCCACTTATCTCAGCAGTGGAAAGTAATTTCCCAATCAGCCGTTACTAAGAAACTATGTTAAGGAAGAAAGGAGAAGTGGCCTATTCTTATTTTATAACCATTCTAAATGAGTCACTGCTAGGCCCTGAAGGGAAGGCACCTCTGGGATCCATCAGAGGAGGGAGAATACGCCTGCATGAGTATTTTGCAGTGAATCGTGGGTGTCAGGGAATTCATAAAATGCACTTTCTCATTAGCAGTTGAGCCAAATCAAGTGAGCTAGTCAGTATTTCCCATCAGTAACGGATAGTTGACACCAAAAACATTGTGTTAATCCTAATTAATCATTAGAGTAAACAGATAGGATTTGGTAACCAGATTACATTTTCTAAAGCTATGCAGTTGGTCAAAACAAAACAAAATATAAAAACAAACTCCAGTTCCTGCTGACTCAAAATTCCTCTTGTAGGACTAGTTTACAGAGAAAGTGTAAGCTCAATAGTCATTTTGTATGTAGTTCCAGTTATCATCTAGATTTGTGGAGGATATGGTCCTGTCTCATCCACGAACTATGGTAATGTGGGAATCAAGCTGTCAACATGAGGCAAGCAACATGCACCTGGGAAAATATTCTCAGTGAGGAGCTGCCCAGATTAGGCCATCTGTGGGCATGCCTCAGAGAAATAATACTTCCCCTAACTGTGTGCAGAAACACGCCTTCCACGACCGAATGGAAAGGACAAGGCAGAGTGGTTATTGCAAGCATTCTTTCTTCCACTCTCTGTTCTTAACTGTGATTTGATTAGCTGCTTTATGTTCAAACAAGCTTGATTTCTCTGAAATAATGTACTGTCACCTAGAACTGTGAGCTGAAATAAACCTTTTTCATCCCAAGCTGCCTTTGTCAGAGTATTTTATCACAGCAACAGGAAGTGAAGCCGGGACACAAGTACCCATATAAACCTCTGTTGTCAAGGAAGAAGGCATCTCTACCAATAACCATGGCAGACTTAAGTTTTATTTAAATTCATGGGCTCCTGATGGAGAACGACTATGTGAGAGAAACTGTTTCTTGAGGTGAGAGATTATATAACATTTTATCTACAATAATGCTCTGATAGATTTTGGAAATCATCACCACTTGTCACAAGATTCACCTTTGTCACTTATCTAGAAATACAAATTCTATAGCTTATTATAAATTAAAAAAATTAAATGATGTAATTAATACATAATATTTATATATACTTAATGAGGGTACATTATATATATACTTACATATATATATAGAACTATATTTATATATGTCTAACTAGTTAAATAAATATAGAGAACTAGTTAAATAATTATGGTAATTATTTAATTACTTAATTACTACAACTAAAATTATTAATCTTAAATATTTAAAAATGTAATGGAAATTTAATTATTTCACGTAATTATTTTATGATTAAAAACAATTAATTTTTATCTTGAACACTGATAATTTCTGTATGTTGAGATTATTCTCAGATTATTCTCACCGAGACATTTTGTAGTTTTCAGTAATAAATTGTTGTATACTCCAGTATCTCTGCCGTTCAACACAGCAATGGAACAAATTCCTTGTATATATCTGTACTTTGATGCCCACTGTCCAATCTTTCATTATCTCCCCAATTTTTTCCTTTGTATCTTTTCATGAACACTAGTCTACTTTCTACTTCTATATTATCAACCTTTTTTAAGCTTCCATAAATGAAAAAACATGTAACATTTGCTTTTGTATACGTTGTTCATTTTGACTAGTGTGACATCTTCTAGTTCGTCTATGCTATTGCAAATGATAGAAAGTCGTTTCTGTATTTTATAATGTATAAATGCCCTGTTTTCTTTATTCATTTATCAGAGGACAGCTTAGTTTAATTCCATATCCTATTGTTGTGAGTATAACTGCAATAAACATTAGAATGTATGTATGTATGTACAGTATATGCAAAACATATATATTATATAATATATGAATGAGAGTGGTTTCATTTCCTTTGAATATGAGCTCATTAGTAGGACTGCTGAATTACATAGTAGTTCTGTTCAAACTTTGAAGAGTCTCCAAATTATTTTCCATAATGGCTATACTAATTCAACTCCTTATTAACAGAG